TCGAGCATCTGGCTGATGAATGTTGGACGATCTTCTCCTTCATTGCCAATATTTACTTTAATCAGAGGGTCTTGTGCTTGAGCGTATCCAGGCTTGATGATCCGCATTACTTCATCGTCCAGTTCCTTTGTAAGCACTTCTTCTTCTAAACAATCCACCTTGTTGACTTCTCGGCCAATACTTTGTTCCAATTCGAATACTGCTAATTTGTCTTTCAACGCTTTCAGGGCTGCCTCTTCTTTCGTCTTGTCCTTGCATTCTTTATTGAAAGATATTAATTTGGCTTTGAAGGCTTGAATATCGACCATTTGCTTTTGTTGCTTCGAACTCATTCAGGACTCCTTGATTATTCTTTTGCCAATTACTGGCTCTTCTAGGGCCACTATATTTGGCCTCATCTGACTGAACATTTCAGTGAGTGTGTCCACTGAAAATGGCTCTTCACTCTGCGCGACAATCTGAGTTTCTTCCCCCATCTTGGACTACCTTGACAGGTCCATAGTTTCCTTTGTATATGAACCTTTCCACTGAGTTTGCTTCTGCTACAAAAGGCCTATGATCGGCCTGCACCACCTCTGCTTTACCCTTGTTATTCCAAAAAACCAGGCATTGATGGAGCGATGAGGGTATACAGCGACTTCCGTGTATCCAATCTCTTCCTAGTAACACATTGTAACTAGTAGGACCATCTATTACAAAGAAGACTGTGGTCCTAGTAGTTGTACCTATAGTTATGTCCAATGGCATAACTCCCTTAGCTGCAGTTGCTCCTCCATTGAAACTTGTAAGGATGACTTCTGTTGGAATCATATCCCCTTCTGTCTTTGCAAATTTCCTCATCATTCTATATGGAATGGTGTTTATAGCTGTTCCATTATCGACAAGTACTTTTGCCACAGGTATGCCGTTAACTAGAGCTTTAACGTACAACGGCCTCAAGTGTTTAGTCAATTTTATTGCTGGCCGTTTAAAAATAACCTTTTTGGCAGCCTCTATTTCTACTTCCTGCTTGTTCTTTGTCGAATTATCCTTTTGTGATAAGTCAACGCGTAGCATATCGCACTGAACCTCTGTCTCCTGAATTTCCTTTTTACTGTTTTCTGATGCTTCCTCGTCTGTTACCCAACTTGTGGGAGAAGGCATTATTCTTGGATGTGATCCATACTTTTCAGAGCGAGGCACCATCTTCTTCCTTTTAGGCGTCCCGTACAGCATGTAAAAATCGAAAGAACGCTCAGATGGTTCTCCCAATAAATCTACTTTACGAACTCCCTCTCGATGTAGTTGTTTCAACAGAGTATTGTACGATACTCCTCTCCTTCTTCTTTCTGCTTCTAAGTCGATTTCCTCTTCAATGTCTGTCATACCATCATCTTCTTCACCATTGTAGGCCTCTCTAGAAGTCTGGCCTTCTTCATATTCCAGCACGCACGCTTCTCCTTTGTTATCCTCTCTTTCTTCTTCTTCCTTCTCTTTATTCTTGAACTCATTGGCTAGTAAATAGTTATTAGCCACAACAGGAGGTAACGTACCGAACTGAATAGTAAGGGACTGATCTGGATCTTCTCCATCCCTTCTGTCTCGCTCAAACTTCGATCTCGCAGAAGAAGTTTCTGGCAACTCTTTCATTGATTCATCTGTACCAGTCTCTTCACTATCTTTGAGAATATTTTGATTGGCTACCTCAAGTAGTTTAGGCGCCTTAGGACGTGGCACTCCCTGTTGTTGCCTCATCATTCGTCCATAATTTCGTTGGAAACGCCTTTGTTGAGTTCTAGTCATCTCGTTGAAGGGTATCGCCTTTCTTACATTATACTGGAACGAATGCCATACATTTGGTCGGCGAGGTTGCGGCCTGAATGTCCTCCCATTATTTACTGGCCTGAACTGCCTCTCAAAAGGCAGTCCCTTATAGAACGATGTACCTCGCCCTCTACCAGACTGAGTGTTTGGGAAGAAAGTAGGGCGATGGGGATGCTACCATGTCCCTGGTTTCTCCGTATTCCCACTAACTTCTCTTTTGCATCTTGCACACAAGACGTCTTCATCCTTTTTTGGCTCCTTCCCTTTAATACGCTCGAAGACACTAGGATGTGGTCCAGGGTCTTCTTCTCCATCATCTATAACCAATTTGAATTTTGACAACTTGTTTTTGAAACCAGACGTCACCATATTCATTCCAAGTGGCTGTGGAAAAGGATTTTCATCCACTGCCATCTTCTTCTTATCATCGAACGTAATTCGTCCTGATTTAATGGCATCCTGTAACACATGGCGAAAAACCAAGCAATTGTTAGTCAAATGTGACCATGCATTATGCCACTTACAATATTTTTTTACCCTTAATTTGTTCAGGGTTTGGCAATTTATACTTATCGCTCAGTTTTATCTGCTTATCCTTATATAATTTATCAAATATAAGGTCAGCTTTGGTTACGTCGAACGAGAACGTTCTAGCTTTTACGACGTTTTCATCTTTCATAGGCTCATCCTTACCCGATGGTCTAGACTTAGCCATTATAGGACAAGTATATGTGTCTCCTTTGACTAATTCGGCCAAACACATTTCGGTCTGATCGTATGATTCGTTATTGATGGTATGAACATTAAAATTTGGGTTTCTATAATAAGTCCCCTTGCTAGAATTTTTTATCTGCTCTTCTTCTCTTATCAATCGTTCATACCTAATCACGTTCGCGCTCAATTGGAAAAGGTCAGGAAATTCCTTGTCTTGAAATTTCTTTTTTAAATCAAAACTCAAACAACCTTGAGCGATTTTGACAAACTCTTTTTCGGACAGAGGTACAAAACATTTACTTCTTGCTGTCTTAAACCTTTGGAGGAAACCTTCTGTCCATTCGTTTGGCATTTGACGTAGGTTCGTCAAATCGGCCAAAGTAACTTTAGACTCAGTCTTATAAAATTGAGCGTGGAATAATTGTTCCCGTTGTTGCCATGTTTGAACAGAATTCATTGGGAAATTAATGAACCAGAAGAAAGTTACTCCTGTTAATGAATTAGGGAAAAGCCTCATTTTATGATAATCAGTTACGTCACCACTTTGTAGTGTGAATCGTCCTTTGTGTTCTAGAGTAGACACCTCCCCTAAACCGGTAAACAGTGAGAATTCTGGCACTTTATACCCTCTAGGCCATGGATATGCTTGGTCTATTCAATCATGATATGACTTTGTGTAGGTCGGCCTAATGACAGGACGTACTCCAAAAGCCATCTGGTCCTGTACGATTTCCATAATCTGATTCCTCAACATGACGTTGGGGTCATATGGAATCCCTACAGGTTGGTTGACCGGTTGATTTGCTTGAGGCCTGATATTTGGTCCTTGATTAGGAACAAAATTATCATGATTTGGGCCATTGTTACCATTAGCCTGAATATTTATTCCCTCATTAACACGTGGAGTATTCTGCCCGTTATTTAGGACATTATCTCTTACATTTGGATTACCCCCCAAGTTAGGCGTACCACTACCATTATTCTGATTTGACATTACACCATCCCCTTGGTTTGAAGTAGAGGGACCGAAATATGGTTCTACCCCTTGACTTAGATTTAGGACTGGGGGATTATGTCCCACAATTGTCCTAATTTGAAAGTGGTTTGCAAGAGGCATAACTGGTTGACAAATTTGGCCTACTAATTTATTCATTATTTCATTCAAAGTATTCAGTTGTTTGGCCATGTTGTCATAATGAGCATTCCCATTCTGGGTAAATCTTTCCATATTATGAATATTTCGAAAATTTACCTGTTCAACGACATCTTGTGTGAGTTCTTCAAGCAGTGCACGCATAGTTCGAGGACTCAATTCTGCCATTGATTTGTAATGACTGTTACTGCTTTGATTCTGTCCATCTGTTCGTGGAGAGCTATGCTGTTCCTCATATCGCTCGATCACAGACTAGACTCCTCCCTGACTTGCTGCTTCCTTATCGGATCTCTGAGGTATATTGTTTCACCTTTTGTATCTTCAACACCAAACACCACTGTCCCATTGTGCGTGCCAAATTGTTTCACGCGAGTTAGTTGCTAACAATTAAAAAGGGATCAGATGATTGTGTAAGGGACAAATCTCTTGAGACAAAGTCCCAAAAAAGGGTTTTTTTATTGGCGATGACTTTACAATTGGAAAATAAAAACAGAATGCCTCCAAGGGGCGCAAGCATACGAGTTACTGAAAAAGGAAGTGTTTAAATCTAAACGAAGAAATTTAAAGTAACATATTCTCTGTTTGAGAGTGTTTGATTCGGGGTCTTTTGCTCTATGTCTTTTCTTCCTTTTATACTCCCTGGATGATCTCTTCGTGATCAACTGCTTAAAAACTGCTTGATCGCTCTATAACTGCCCACTTTCCTTGTAGTGGCCAACTTATCATGAAACTGCCTTCTCTAACTGCTGCCATTACTTTTGTCGTTCAACCGTCTTCAATTGAATTTCTTGAATCGTAAAACGTAATTGGACTACCCAATAACTGCTTTATTAATTGCACTTCTAGGTAACCATAACATCTTATGTTTGCTAAGATGTTGGGTGACTCGAATGTTTGGACGAGAGCAGGATCACAGCTCTGGGCGATTGCATGACAATTCATTCGCTCAAATCTTGGGCGACTTGCAACCTTGGACGATGGTATTACCGCATTCATGGGCTTCCCTATTTGGGCCTTTATCCGGCAATGCCTGATTGAGTCGTTCTTTTGGGTCATTTGATTTTGGGAATCTTTCTATTGGACTTCATTTTTTAGACTATTCGATTTGAGCTGAACTTTTTGTATGTCAACAAAACCATACAAGAATAGTTAGGAATTAGTTTTACGTACACAGACATCAATACTATAATATTTCAAAAAAGTGATATTGCTGATTGTTCTCTCTTTTTCTACGTACACAGCTGAATTCCCATTTTCTGCGATGTTATGCCTTGCCTAATTATTGCCTAAAATATTTGATTGTTACAATGCGTTTGGCTAATTATAGAAATGTGCTGTTTTGTTATTTATATATAAATAGATAGTGAATCTGGTTTTTCTCCGATCCAACCGTTCTTCCACACGCATTTTTCCTTTCTTGAATGGAATACATTTCTTGATCTCTCCTTATTAAAAATTGGGTTCTGGGTTTTTCTTGTGGAAAATCATATATAAGATATAGATTATGGGTACTCAGCAGACACTGATCTACAGCTTCGTGGCGAGAGGCACCGTGATATTAGCAGAGTTTACGGGATTCAAGGGGAATTTCACCAGCATTGCCTCCCAATGCCTGCAGAAGCTGCCGGCATCCAACAACAGGTTTACTTACAATTGCGATGGCCACACCTTCAATTACCTTGTGGAAAATGGATTCAGTATGCACCCTCATTTTTGGATCATTAGTTTTCAATTTATTTTTATGTTGGTTTGAATGTCGGCATTTCTTGTTTGGTTTTGATTTGATCTGTATTCTATGATCATTTTGTTTAATTTGATTGTTCGTGTAAATATGGATATGTATGTTACATGGAAATATGTTTATTGGTTAAGATGAAAGAAGAAAAATATGATTTTCCTATAATTCTATTTGATGGTAGGGAAAAGTAAAGATTTTATGGATCCTGTCAGGCTGTCACTCCCATTCTTGCTCGACCGATTTAAGTTTTTCCCAGAAAAAATCCTGCAAGAATGGTGAGAAAAGATCATGGGAAGAAGATTTCAATGTGCGCTCTTTTACCTATTCCTCCCTTGATTTCCACACACCTAGTGGCAAATCCAGAAATTCATCTGAGCCAGGGAGCGGCTGCCCAATGTATGAGGGAAAAAAAATTTCCGGCAAGCCAGCACGGACGGCCGCCAGGCTCGCCAGCAGCTTGCTCGACCACTGCTCACACCTCATTTTCTCCTCCTCCTTTATGTTCTTTGATGCCATGATCTGGTCTCACAATGCACATCAATAAAGTTTGGAAAGGGTTCCATTCATAACTTAAATATATACAAATCTTCTATAATTGTGGAGGAACACTGAGGGACATCATTTGCTTGGCCAACTTCTTTACTTATAATTTTTTAACAGCTCACTTACCTCATAGGAACTTAGCATCACACACCTAAGTGAATGGGAATAGGGTTCAAAACGACGTGGAATTATAATCTCGTTACACTTATGACGAAGACGTAAGAACAAAGGCATATACACTAAGACTCCAAGATTTTCCAAGATTTTCTGATGCAGGGCGCTGAGGGCATTAACCGAATAGAGACGAGGGACAAGGTTGTACAGTAGACCATGTCCATTATGCACATCAATGAAGCCGGATTTATTACGTACTTTGAGATGATTTGTTACCTTGCTCTTCTTGCCATTGCATGCCACATTGGCCATTTTTAGCCTGTCCTATTACTGAACTCTTAACTTTCATGGCAAAGGAATATGAACTAGAAAATAACTTTCTTGACAACCAAATATGGGCAGGAAAGTGGCTTTCCCTTAAACTCGTTATGTTTTATATTTGTAGCCTATTGCGTTGTTGCTGTTGAGTCTTCTGGTCGGCAAATTCCAATTGCCTTTTTAGAGCGCGTTAAGGATGATTTTAACAAGAGATATGGAGGAGGGAAAGCCACAACTGCAGGTGCCAATAGCCTGAACAAGGAATTTGGGTGAGTTCTTTTTCACATTTTACATATTGATTTTCATTTTGTTTGGACTTTGTCGAACATTTGTTGTTATGTTAGGTCAAAACTGAAAGAGCATATGCAGTACTGCGCTGATCATCCTGAAGAAATTAGCAAGCTTGCTAAAGTCAAGGCGCAGGTCTCTGAAGTAAAGGGAGTGATGATGGAAAACATCGAGAAGGTACAAAGTTTTCCATATTCCCTCAGTATTTGAAAGTTCTGCTATTCCTTGTGATGTTAATTTTGTTACTTTTTTCTTAGGTTCTAGACCGAGGTGAGAAAATTGAGCTGCTTGTTGATAAATCTGAGAATCTCCGATCCCAGGTGAGTCCAAGGAAGCCATATTCAGATTCCACTCATTCGATTATGTCAAGATCTTCTCAAATTCATTGATGTGGGAGTATTATTTTCGTTCTAAAATTTGATCAAGTCCCCTTGTGTTTTTTGTTGCGTTTCCAGGCGCAGGATTTTAGGAAACAGGGAACCAAGATTAGGCGAAAAATGTGGTTTGAGAACATGAAGATTAAATTGATTGTGTTTGGCATCATTGTAGCTTTGGTTCTCATCATCATTCTGTCTTTTTGTCATGGCTTCAAGTGTGTATAGGAGAACTCATTTCGGATTTTGAGTTCTCTAGTGTTGTCTATTTCGCTTCGTTTTACAGGGATAGAGGGCTCGGGTTTGTCGCAAGATGCTTTCCCGGCCGATGTTTTTCATAATATAGTAAATGATGCATCTCCTCTCCATATTGTGAAGACACAACTTTCTTGTGATAGTCTATCAGATTCTGTATATTTGTTTCTTTATCCATATTTTGGAAATTGAGTTTTGTTGTTATTATTATTATTATTTTTTGTAAAGATTGATTTATTTTGAAAGTGATTCTTACTTTATTTTAAAAATAACCAACTTTATTTCTAACAAATTCAAAGTGTTATTTATTTTACGTCGTGCTTATTTACTAGTAGGTAAACGTTTTAAGTATAGCTAAACGTGCTCACGCTTCTTAGTATCTCATAAGCTACTACATTTATGGTTAATTCTTACCAATGCAGGGAGTCACATTATAACCAAGGTTTGCTAAGCTTACGAATTGTAACAAATTATAGATACGATTATGTCACAAAATGAAAGCCAATTTCTTTAGTAAAACATAGTGTTAGACATCATGTTGTCAAACGACCTCCCGGACGATGATGAAAACCAATTTTATCAGTCGACATGAATGACTGAACGATAATTCAACATCGAATAATGGATGAACCGACCAAACGTTGCTTTACCTATTGGATGGCTAATACTCTTTGTGGCTTGTTGTTTCTTTCCTTTGGGACTTAAACCTAGTCGAGCCCACTTACCATATTGTGACTTACCTTAAGTTGGCCATTTAACTAGTATATATATTGGTGCTTAACCTCTACTCCTCACCCGTTTTGATAGAACCCGAGAGGTAAAGAGAAACTGCCCCCTTCTTCTTCTGCCTTCTTCTTCGTGATTTGTCTTCCTACCAAATTGCTTGAGCCTTTGTGACTCTTACTTGTGTGGTATCCATCCTAAGTGTGTGGTTTAATCAACAAGCAAAAGAGGAAACAGCAACCATAGGAGAGTTGAAGCCGGCGGTTCGGTCATCTTAGATTTTGGTGTTGAATTCGATGTTTAATGGTTAACTGAGCCCGAAAATCACTTTGAGCAGCTTAAGGAAGATCCTAACATCTGGTATCAGAGCTTGGGTAGCAAAAATTGGCTCAAAATCGGCTGATTTTCGGACTTGAACCTTAGAACCCGAATCTGAAAATTTCCAATTACTCACAAACCAAAGCTCGGTTGAACAAACGGAGGCCATACCCATCACCAGTAGGTCGAGGCGCTCCCAGAGAGGCGGCGCGTGGACGACGCGTGGGCGGCTGTCCGACGACGCTGTCTTCAGGTAACTTGCTCGTTTCGATCTCCTGAACGCACTGATATACTTTGTTTTGTGTTTCAGGTTACACAGAAAAAGTTGGACGATTTTGCCCCTGGTGCGACGCCGACTGAAATTGAACATCAAGCTCGTTTTTCTCCACTCTACGGACTCAGATAGGTCCGCTCTGGTAAATTGGCATAATCCATTTAAATTCAGCAATAGCAAGATCATCGTGTGGGGTGAACGTTAGATTTTGGGGTTACCGTGAAGGGGTAACCATTGCTTGTGCTAGAACATGGATTACTTGCGTTAATTGAGTGCTTGTTCTTTTGATTTAAGTGCTTGGTATTTCTTGGTGGACGTAGCGTTTAGGTTCATTGTTACTTTTGTTAAGAATTAACAAGATATTACCTTATCTCGCTTCCCAATACTACTTCGTGTGGTTTAATTAGTGTGTTAACCAATGACAATACATAATTTTGATTTGGGAATATTTAACGGTAAAGGGGACTTCTCTATCTGACAACAAAAGATAAGAGGTATATTAGTCCAACAAAAGGTGTCAAAAGCCATCGAAGGCAATTTTGCACCTGACATCTCAAAAGAACAAAAAGAGGAAGCCGATGAGCTTGCCTATACCTCAATAATATTACACTTGTCTGACGCTGTCTTAAGAAAAGTGGAAAAATTGTGACGAAGCCGTGTCTGAAACCTATAAGGCCATTATCTTGCTCAATTCAATCCCAGACTCTTATAAAGAAGTTAAAAATACCATTAAGTATGGTAGGGACATGTTAACACCTGAAATTATCGTAGATTCTCTTAGGAGTAAGGAGACGGAAATGAAGGCTGAAAAACAGGATAGGAGGAGTGAAGAGTTGCATATGATGCGGGGTAGAACACAATTTAGGCAAGCCAGTCATGATGGATACCAAAGTAGTGGCGAATCAAGTAGTAATAGTTGGAAAAACAAGGAGAATGGTAAACCTAGATCAAATTCTAGAACTAAGGGTAGAAAATGCTATGGCTGTGGAGGCACAGGGCATTTTATAAAAGACTGTCATAAAGAAAAGGGAAAACAGAAGGTTAAGGAAAGAGATGAGGTAAATGTGTTATCCTCTACCTCCGATACCGAAAACGGCAAAATCTATGTGATCACTAGTCCAGTCGCATACACTACTGAATTAAATCTAACTACTAATTCTCACATGCATGAATGGATATTAGATTCTGGTGCGTCTTTTCGTGTGACATCTGAAAAGAACTGGTTTGAAAACTTGCAAGAATCTAATGATGGGCAAGTAGTTCTGTGTGATAACTTCTCCTATACAATTGCTGGAATTGGAGATATAAAGGTAAAATTTAACACAGGCTTTGTGTACATGTTAAAGGAAGTTAGATACATTCCGAAATTATCTAGGAATTTGATTTCAGTAGGAAGACTTGAGAAAGACAACTTTACTGGTAAAATTGAAAACGGTATGTTTAAAATGATGAAGGGTGCGTTAATCTCTATTAAGGGAATCAAGAAAAATGACATTTACATCACTACTGGGAAAGTGATTAGAGGATTAAACTCCTTTATTTCTTCCGCCAAAATCGATCACACACATACGTGGCATAGTAGACTTGCACACGTAAGCATTAAAGGACTTAAGCTACTTAATGAAAAAGGTACATTTGGTAATGACTGTGTGTTTGACCTATCGTTCTGTGATCACTGTGTGCTTGGAAAGCACCATAGAGTGTCGTTTTCCACCAGTACGCATAAGGCTAAAAGCATGCTTGAATATGTGCATTCTGATCTGTGGGGTCCTGCTAGTAATCCCGCATCGGGTGAGAATAGGTATTTCCTATCTATCATAGATGACTACACCAGGAAAGTGTGGGTCTATCTATTGAAAGACAAAACTGAAACCTTCCATAACTTTAACAATTGGAAGAAACAAATGGAAAACCAAACTAGCAAGAGGATCAAATTTTTAAGGACAGATAACGGCCTAGAATTCTGTAATGTTGAATTCAATAGGATATGTAAAGAAAGTGGAATAACAAGGCACAAAACGGTTCCTTATACTCCCCAACAAAACGGGATAGCAGAAAGAATGAATAGGACCATACTAGACAAAGTGCGTTGCATGATGTTAAGTTCAGGGGTTCCTAAGTCATTTTGGGGTGAAGCCGTTGTCACTGCCTGTTATCTAATAAATTTGACTTCATCGGCTGCATTAAATTGTGATACTCCACATGAGAAATGGTCTGGAAAATTGGGTGACTACTCAATGCTTAAAGCGTTTGGCTGTGCTGCTTTTTCTCATCAAAGTGAGGGAAAGTTAGAACCTAGAGCCAGGAAGTGTGTCTTTCTAGGATATCCCAAAGGGGTTAAGGGCTATAGGCTATGAGATAGAAGCCAAAAAGGAGTTAAGATCATCGTGAGTAGGGATGTCACATTTAATGAGAATGAGATGCCTTGTCTAAAGAACGAAATCGAACCTGTAAGTGAAACTGAATCAAGTGAAGAAAGAAATCGGTTTAAGGTGGAGTTAGGAAAATTTAACACATCAGTACCTAGTACTTCGAGTGAGGTGGAGATTCAGGTCCAAGAACCTGAAGAGGAAAATGAAGTAGTGATAGAAGAGCATCCTGAGGAAGAAAATCCATTAGCTAACTATAACTTAGTTAGAGATAGAGAGAGAAGGCAAACGAGAGAAACTAGGAGGTTCGGGTATGAATCTGAATTGGATTTTGCATACGCTAGTTACGAAGAACTAGTTGATAGGGAGCCAGAAACTTTTGAAGAGGCTATGAATAGTGGTCAATCTAAGGAATGGTTTAAGGCTATGAAAGAAGAGATGAGTTCTCTAGAAAAGAATCAAACTTGGGAGTTAGTACCGAGACCTAAGAATAAATCAATCGTTGATTGCAAGTGGGTCTTTAAGGTTAAGGAAGGTACTAGTAGTACAGAACCCTTAAGATTTAAGGCTAGGTTAGTAGCAAAGGGTTACACACAGAAAGAAGGTGTTGATTATAACGAGATTTTCTCACCAGTTGTCAAGTACACTACTATTATGGTCATGCTCGCATTGGTTGCGTTCTTTGACTGGGAACTTGAACAACTCGATGTAAAAATCGCTTTTTTACATGGAGAGCTTGATGAACAAATCTTTATGAATCAACCAAAAGATTTTAAAGACAAGTTAAAACCTGATTATGTGTGTTTTCTGAAAAAGATCCCCATGGAAATAGAACGAAATAGGTCAAATTCCATCGTATTTTTGCATCAGTCTCCATACATATCAAAGGTGTTGAAAAAGTTTAATATGAGTGACTGCAAACCTGTCACGTTGCCTCTTGCAAACCATTTTGTTCTATCTAAAGAACAAGCTCCCTGCAATGAACATGAAGTGAAATACATGAGTAAAATTCCATACTCAAATGTGATTGGTTCCATAATGTATTTGATGGTTTGCACTAGACCGGACTTAGGATTCGCTATTAGTACTCTCGGTAGGTACATGTCTAATCCAGGTCCTGAACATTGGGAAGCATTAAAGTGGCTTTTAAGATATTTGAAGGGTACAAGTGACGTAGGTTTAAAATTTAGTACTAATAAAGAAGACGTGAAATTAAAGGATTTTGTAGATGCTGACTATGCGGGAGATAGGGATGGTAGGAAATCAACTTCCTCTTACGTATTCACCTTATCAAATTCATGTGTTAGTTGGAAATCACAGTTACAACACATAGTTGCACTATCCACTACAGAGTCAGAATATATTGCCACCACTGAAACAATTAAAGAGGCTCTATGGCTTAGAGGACTACTTCATGAACTGAGTGTCTTGAATGAGTATGTGATTGTGTATTCTGATAGTCAGTCATCCATACATCTGTGTAAGAATCCTGTTTTTCACGAACGCACTAAATATATCGATGTTAGGTTACACTTCATTAGAGATAGAATATCACAAGAAGT